GGGAATTAAAATAGCACCTGCAACAGAGGTGCCTAACAAACAGTTTTTCAAGTAAAAGTGCAAGTATATACAGTTCAGTGTAGTGAGAGCAAAGAGTCAAACAGCACAGTATAAATAAAGAGAGTTAGAAAGAAAAAATGAACTGTTCTCATTAAAAAAGTCCTTCCACTCAATTCATAAATGAAGGCCCTCCTGATGAACTGACTTCCATTTTTAGTATTTTGGAGGCATTAATGTTAGGAGACAACCTGTTATTTCTTTACATCATTTGTTTCTATAAATGCCCATCCTAAAATAGTTTTAAGAAGGAAAGATTTAAGTGTCTCAGTAGATTATACTAAGTGGCTTAATTTTGTTTAATCGTTGACTTGTTTGGATGCATGTAGTAAACATGCATGTTCCCTGGGGAAGGTAATGCCAAATATTTACCTTACCTACTTGCTTGATATTTCTTCTTGTTAGACAGCAATCATTAAGATATGTTGGTAGATGTTACTGGGAGCTGAGCCTGAAGTATTCAGGTTTTTTCCTGTTGGATCTTAATGCATTGTGTCTCTCTTTTACAGGGTGGCATGTATGTTTTTCAACTCTTTGACTACTATGCAGCTAGTGGTGTATGCCTTTTGTGGGTTGCATTCTTTGAATGTATTGCTGTAGCCTGGGTTTATGGTAAGTGAGAATCCTTTAATCTGATACCTTTTGATGAGTCAGTGACAATTTTGCTAGCCAAACCTTTAGTCATCAGCCACCCCCAGAATCTTCTTCCCAGCAACAGACATATGCCATTAATATAAATTTGCACTGACCTCTTGGAGACAAATTTGCATCTGGGATGAAGCCAACCTCCAGTGTTTTTCCACACAAAAATGAGTATTTTTCCAGTGCTAATTAATAAAGACACAATTAAGCATTTACATGTGTTAAGTTTAGAGATGAGAGTTGAAAGTTTGGCCAGCCGTGAAAATTTCTGTTTGTCTCTCAGAGAATTTCCTTTCAAAGCTGCAATGTCTGCAAGGAGCAAGCCAACCAAATAGGAAATACAAAAAGAAAGCTGACAGAAGGTGTATTCTGTCCCATTATTTTTAGGCGATGCTGAGTACCAAGGTCTGACAGTAGCCTGTGTCAGTAGCACTGACAGTGCCTGAGACAGTAGCTGAGGAATGATCAGATGTCTGCTGCTTAGGACTGGTCATTCCCTTGATTCATCTCCTTAGAAAAGCAAAACAAACAAAGCCTTCATTTTCAATCCGTCAAACCTCTGTAGAAGCAGGGTGTACCATTTGCTGTTGTGTCCTTCCCATGGTGATCCCCTGACAAGATCAGTGAGAGTCTGGGGAGAGGAGTGGGTAGGAGGGATTAGCATTCGCTCCTGCATCGAAATAATGAGGGGTGTGTAGGATGAGAGTGCCCCAACCTTTGAGCTTCTCAAGGAGAAAATCATCTTGAACTTCACAGCCCTGGGAAGCATTTGAACACTACAATATTGTTTCTGGAAAACAGTTCCCCTCATCTTCCCTTTAAATACCCCTTGTGGAGGTCTAGGAAAGCAGCTACAATCCTACAGTCCTTACATGGCTTTTATAGGCTCGATTCTGATAAATGCACTCACTGTCTGATGCAGGCGCTGATAATATTTATGATGCCATTGAGGATATGATCGGATACAGACCTGGTCCCTGGATGAAATGGAGCTGGATTGTGATAACACCAGTTCTTTGCGTGGTGAGTACAGGCTTGCGCTCTTTCACGTCTTCCATGTAGCAGCTCTGAGCCGCATCTTACTGCTTCTCTTCAAGTGAATGCTGTTGCATTCAGAGACCAATTTGCAAAGAGCTGCTGGAGGCTTGAACATACCCCTCAAAGACATCATCTTCTCAGATGTTAGCTGTTAATGTGACAGCTCTCTGCTGTGCCTGCGCAAATTGCAGTTGTCTACATCTGAGTGGTTGTTTTCTTAGGATTGGCAAAATACTACATTCATGTTACAGAAAACTCACTCTCCAAAGAGCAGTCCCTACTTCAAGTGATAGGACTACTAGGCCATTTTGACAAAAAGGCTTGAGCAGTCTGAGGCAGACACTCAGCTTGAAGTATTTAATTTGCTGGGAAGAGCACCCCAGTGAGCTCCTTGCAATGTACAGCAAGTATTGGAGCCCTGAAAAAGAACAGGCGATGTACTGCAGCTGTTCAGCACCATTGCTTAACACTGTATTGTCAAGCAACAGTTTACCTATAAGCAGATGCTCTTTCAATAATTTAAATGGCAGAATAATTGCCCCATCCATTTAAAATATATATGGTATCCATCAACTCTGCCTGTCACTGCCTGTCTTCCGTAGGGAAGTGCTACCACTGGTGGCAGTGGTAGCACCAGAGCCATACTGCTTTCAGCATTTTTTGAGCCTCACTTTGTTTTTCCTTTCTCATCCACAGGGGTGCTTTATCTTTTCTTTGGCCAAGTACAAACCACTGACCTACAACAAGGTCTACACATACCCAGACTGGGCAATTGGCCTGGGCTGGGTTCTTGCCCTTTCCTCCATGATCTGCATCCCTATGGTGATGGTCATCCGCATCATACAGTCAGATGGGTCACTCATTGAGGTAAGAGCAACTGGTGGTCTGTCTAGAGGAGAAAGGGAGCTTTAACTTGCTGTGTTTTATACAGAATAAGCACAATGCTTGGAAAACTGCCACCTTGTCCAGGTAGGGCAAAGTTGGGTGCCTCTCCTGCAGTGAATGTAAATAAGAGTGTTAAAGATCAGCTGTCCTTTGGGCAAACAGCAGAAACAGAACAAACACAAAGCCTTCTGTCCTCAGACAAACACCAGGTGATTTTACTTGCATCTCACTTCTGCAATTTCTGGCTTGGCAAATCGTTGCCTCTGTGTGCAGACAGGTACTCAAGGACTGGGGTGCTTCCCAGTGCCAGATCCCTCTTCTCCAGCCCACGGGGACAAGGAAGCACCATCCTACAAATTACTGAGAAAACGAGAGAGAGAGAGAGAGAGAGAGAGAGAGACCTGGGTCAAACCTAGCTGTCTTAGAGCTCACTGAATTTCAGGGAATTTTGGATCCACCTGTGGATTGTGTGGCTCTCAGGCATGGCTTTCACTGAGGGACTGAATAAAAGTCAAACCCTCCTGCCAGTGGGCTCTGCTTTTTAGCTTTTTAAATTTTTTTTTTAAATTCCTAATGAATCAAATCAAAACACTGGATCCAGATTGCCCTGATCTTTGGAAAACTTTGGGTCAGATTCAGACTTGACAGTGCAGATTCTCTCAAGTTTGGATTTGCAGGCAATCTCTTGCCCTTCGCAGTTCAGCACAGGTTCCCCTGGTTTGTTTTTCTTCCAGTGGAAAGTTTTTAGAGACTGTGTGAGCACGAAACTTAGCAATTCTAAGGTTTCAGATTAGTTTTGTTTTTGCCTAATGAGATGGTCTTAAATGCAGCCCAGGGTATTCTTGGAGGAGAAAGTGGGACACTTCGCATTAGGAAAAAAGAGAGAATAGAATTAAAAAAGAACATTTCCCAGAGCAGAAACGCTTGCATTTGTTTTCCTCCAAGTGCTAATGGTCTTTTTCAGTTGTGGCCAGAGCATTTTCATGAGTGTTTATTTTCCTGCCTACATTGTCTCCATCTATTGAGAGACAAGTCTAAAAGTAGCCAAAACACTCCTCAAAGACCATGTTAGGAAAGGAAAGAGAGTTAGCACTGGTCAGATGCCATTTAGCTCTTCCTTTGTGAACTGAGATGTAGGAGAGAAGTTGCCACTTGGCATGAACGGCTTGGCTAAAAGGCAGAGCTGTTTCTAAATGAGGAAGGAGAACGCAGATAATTTGAGCAGCAGCTGCAGCACTGAAATCCCAGCGTGCAGGATGCTGGATAACGCTGTGAATGCCCTCTCACGTCTGACTTGCCTGCGTCAAATCAGGCTCTGCAGCTGAGAACAAGTTGAACATCGTGCTCTGCAGCCCAGGTCCCCACATCCTCGCAGAGCCACACGGCATACGCATCTCTCTGGCCACCATCCCCATCCTCGGATTGCCACATCCTCCATCCTGCACATGGAGACGCAGGGGCCACTTGGTCTCCTCACCTTTGCTTTTCTTCTTTCTTTCAGAGGATAAAAGCAGTGGCTGCCCCCAAGGAAGTGAATCGGTGGTCCAAAGAAACGGAGAGTGGCACCCCCTTCTGCCCCAATGGAACTTCGAATGGCGGATTGATCAAGCCAACTCATATCATTGTGGAAACCATGATGTGAGCTCTCTCTGTGAGAGGATAAACCTGCTTTAACTGCCGTTTACTAACCATAGATTCTCATAGGACCAGGTTTACAGAGCTTTATATTTGCACTAGGATTTATTTTTATTTCTCACAGAGAAAGTTATTTTTTGTGTGTGTTTTTTTTTTAATATTTTGTAAGGTAATCACAGCAGATGTCTCTCTATAGAGGGAGAACTTTCATATCAGACTAGACATATTACAGGAATTTACTATTACTGGGGTTTTTTAAATATATGTATCTTTATCTCTAAATATTATACACCTTACCACTTGAATTGATTGTCTTGCCAGCAATACATTCAAGTCTCAGAAAGCAATTCTAGGTGCTGGTATGGTTGGGAGCAGGGTAACCTACAGAACACACAAAAGGAGCTCTGTTGGGAGATACGATTAAAAAACAGACACTGTTTCAAGAGACTTTTCAAAGGTGTAGTATTTCCACCCTCTGGTTCAATTGTGGTAAACGACAGGCTTCAGGGTCGCGTTAGGGGAAGAGTACAGTTGTGTTTAGCACAATACCTGAATAAAGATACAGCTGGGCAGCTGGAGCAGACACTTTGCGAGGGAGGCAGAGAAATTGGGTGTGAAAAGCCTTGTGGCTGTCCCTCCCAAGCACGGTGCTGGGACCCTGTCACATAGACAGGAGGAGGACTTTAGGAAGGCGTTTGCAGGAGTTGGCATGGTTTGCTCTTTTTTTTTTTTTTTCCTTTTCTTTTTCTTAGGTTTTGGGTTGTTTTTTTACTTAAATGAAATGCCTGCTGTTTGTGTGTGAGCAGGGAGGTTGAGTACCTGCTCCTGAGTTTTCTAGCAAAGCGTATTTTAGTATGGTGGCAGTGGTGTAAACTTGAATTCTGCAAACTGAGAGGGGCAGCCTGTCCCTGGGGCAGCAGGGGCGAGTGCCCGAGTGCCCAGGAGCTGAGAGGGGAAAAGCAGCAGCTGAGAGGGGAAAAGCAGCACCTGCCCTCTGGGTGCTTCAGATGGTCGCTTGCTCATTTGTTTGCATGTTAATTATTGGACTTTGGTTTCGGGCAGAAAAATAAAAGAATCCCTTCTGCACTCTGACCGTCCAATGGTGAACACAAAGCAGGTCATCCCCGACAGGAGGAACAAAACTGCTCACCTACACCTGGTGTAACCAGTATTTATAACAGACACTGTGTTAATAATAATAGAAATGAAGATAATAATATCACTCAGCGAACAGGTGCTTTTCATCCATGTATCTCAAAAATGCTTTGCCAAGTTCGGTAACCAGGATTTGGTGTATTTATTTATTTGGTGGGGCATTTGTTACTGTTGGGGGAACAGACAAAAGGACTAAGTCACTTGTCCCATATTTCTAAATAGCGGTAGTGGACCTAGGGCTCCCAGTCTCCTTGCCCATCATTGGGTTAAACAGTAATTTTATGGTTTTTTTAGGGGGGGGTTGGAGGGTGGAAAACATATTTATGAGGTTTATGAATCTTATCTGCTGAAGAAACAGGGCTTTCAGGATTTTAAGTTAAAGCAAAGGGAACATACAACACTGAAATATTTGGTATTTAGTCAGAAGGAATTGTGTACCGTTCCAGGTTAGACTGGGGAGTGAAGAGAAACCACTACGAGGAGTATAGGAATGGGGGTTCTGCTTCGTGTGGGCCAGGTGGAAGTTTCCATGGGGAGTTGCTTCCTGAAGACTGGCCAAAACATGGACAAAAATGCCTTTTTTTTTTTTTTTTTTTTTAAAAAAAACTTGAGCAGGTTCTGCTGGGAACACGTTCTCTGGTGAAAGTCAGCCTTTTCTTGTGGGCATTGTATTAGAAGGACAGGTTTTTTCTTCTTATGATACCACAGTTAGGCTATCCGAATGTACTTAGAGAAAATGCTTGATAAAAGCAGAGTTTGTATCTGCTTATTCTGCTGTCAGCTTAGTCTGTCAGGGCAGAGTTTGTCATTTAAACAGGAACATATCCAGTTCTTAACATTCCTACACAGTAGCTTTTTCTTGTCCCGTGGGCTAACTGGCTGCAGCAGCACAAACACTTGTTGATTAGCTTGTTGGTTTTCTTGTAACAGAAAAGAGTTGATTTAAAACTTAAGAGATGGACCAAAATTGGAGGTTATTTGAATTCGCTCTGAACTTCAGATTGGCCAAAAAAAAAAAAAAAAAAAAAAAAAAAAGGAAAAAGTGGCTGCATCTGTAACTTTCAAAATCTTTCTAGTTTGAATTTGTACACATTTTTACATCAGATAGCTGAGTTGCAGCAACAAAACCAGACACGGCAGAATTGTTTTTGTTTTCTTTTTCTGGTTGCTGTATTATGAGAGTTATAAATGAAACTTTTCCACAGCTGGAGATGGCAAATACCTAATCTCACCTGCTGGGCCAGTGGCAATAGCCATCCAAAGATCACTGGAGGAATTCTGTGAGCCAGTGGGTGTCATCAAATGTGCCCAAAATAAAGAAACATGCATACAGCTATGATTTTTTTAATATATCCTTTAACCATCAACGGCAAGGAATTGTAATCAAAGATAACTCTCTTAGTGGGCTTCAGCTTGGACCCTCATTTCTGAGTTGCAATTAGTGCCTGCAGTAAACAGGCACACCTGCCTGGGTGAAGAGGCAGTAGCAAGGAAGGGCGGGGGGAGGGTCCCAAATTAGTGGTTTCTGTGAGTGCAGATGAAACACTGATGCTTGGGGGTTTTTTTAATACATACATTCTCATACCACTGCGTTTGAGATACAGTTTGCACATTACTTTTGTGCTATAGAGCTGAGACAAGCTTTAGTTAGGGAAGAACGGTTTGGCTACATCAAAGATGTCTCCAGCGAGTCAGCTGGGTATTTAGCCATCTCTCACGTTGTGGAGAGCATCTTTGCGCCAAGAACCAGAGGGCTAATACTACACCTTTCAAAGTACAACTACTAGAGAACTAGAACCCAGCCCCATTTCGATATAAACTGTGCCATTCAAATCAGCCGCTTCCATGTACCAAGTGAAAATGTCTCGCACATATGCAACAACCTCATTGAAGCGTTCTTTATGTCAGCTTCTCTGGCCCTGCTGTGCTCTTTAGCATGACTGCAAGGGAGGGCTGGGAGACTCATGAAGAGCTAAGAAATTATTGTTTCTGGACAACAGTTCCCCTCTCCCCTCTTCTCTCCCTTCAAAAAAAAAAAAAGTTAATTATTCTTGTTTTATCTGGGGTTTGAGTTGCAATGAGCACACTCACATTTTTACAGTTTTGGGTTTTTTCCTAACACTTTTATCAGATTTATGAACTTTTCTTGGTAATAAACTTGCATTTTAACATGATCCTCTGCCAAATTTATTAAAGAATTATTTGTAAAAAGTCTGTATTTTGTACCTATTTCTGACTGCAAATACAACTAATTTTTTTCCTAATTTACTTGTTTAAACACTTGTGACCTATTTTACCTTTTTTATGTAAATGAGGAACTCTATGTTAAAAAATCATGACTAGTCATAGCTGAACTGGTTTGGATCCAGGGAAAAGTTAGTGCAGTTTTTGCATGAGATCTTTAAAACCAGATCCCTGAGTTTAAAACCAGAATAAAACAAGACAAAAAACCACACCTTTTCATATTCCATGTACCTTTGTCTTCATGGGTTCTTCCGGGCTTGAAAACGGCAGATTTTCGGCAGTATTTACTTCCAGCTGAACTGAAATCAAGAGATAGTAGAAATGTAAAGGGGAAAATTTACCCCACAAGATTTTCCAACCTGTTTCCTATTTGTCTAAATTTTCCAAACTTTTTTTGTTCACCTGTCACTAGTTATGATCTCACTGAATGGGCATCTATTGTAAGGGACTTTACCAGTAGTCTGTATTTCAGTATTTAAATAGTATGATTTCAAAAATAGAACTGGTTTTTGTTGTTGTTGTTGTTGTTGTTGTTGTTGTTGGTTGTTGGTTGTTGTTGTTGTCCTCATTTTCCTTCTCATCTGTAGCTTTCCTTTTCATCTGGTCCAAACAGATCCACACGCTTAGAAAAGTCCTCTTTAAAGTGTGAGATAGTAGGTCCACAATGGATTTGTTCTTGTGTTGGAAGTGAAAATACAAAGTCCCAGCAGCTGTGCTTGCCATCTAGAACGCTGGTGGTCACCCTGCAGCAGCAGTGCAGCTCCTGGAGTGGAGGGGAGTTAGGAGTGTCTGCTGAAACAGCTCAGCAAAACTGATTTTTGCAGCTGTTCTTTGGGAGAGGAGGAAAAGAGGAAAACAACAACAAAAAAAAAAGGTGCAGCCTTACAGTTGCTGTAACACAAAAAAAAAACCCCAGCAACCACCAGCAGAGCCTTTAATGTCACCATCAGGACAGCACCTTCTGCAGCTGTCTTCAGTCCTGTGTTAATCCTCCTTTCTCAACTGCAGATACTCCTGGTTCCTCTTCTCTGTCTCAGCGTTAGACAAATTTGAGTAGATCTGAAGACACATGGACATTTCCATTCCATAGGCCTTTTACAAGTCTCCTCCCAGTCTGCTTTTATTTGCTCAGGAGACTTACAGTTTTGGCGAGGTCATGCTTGTCACACTTGGGTTCAAAGCTCCCACTTCCTGTGTCAATGGCAGCCGACACAATTGACACAGTGGTAATTGTGTCTCCATCTGTGGGAGAAGGATTTGAACATTTTTTTTAATAACTAATTATTAGCTTCCATGTCTTGTGGTCACTGCAAGATCACTCATGGAGGTGTAATGTATATAAAATGTTAATAAGCTGTGTATTGAATGGAGTGGACAAGTTAGTTAAGCAGCTCAAGTACACTTGGAAGAAAGATGACCCTGACATCATTTCCAGGAGATTGAATGGAAGTTGCTCACTTTCAATAAAAAAAAAAAAAAAAAAAAAAAAAAAAAAAAATTAATCTGTGTTTAAGTAGACTAGTGGATAAAATCTTTCACCCTCATATGCACGCACACAAGTGGGGGCATTGCTTCTGTTGCTAGGCTGCAAAAATCATGTGCATAAGTCTGGCAGAGCTGTTCAGGGTGAGGACTGAGAAGGTTTAGGCACCACTTGCCTGGAAAGAGCCAACATGCCAGGGTGCCCAAGTGGCCTTTCCTAAGTTGGGGGTGGTGAAAGAGGGAATGTGATGACAAAGTCCTGGACTGTGGCCCCTCCAAGGAAGCCTCGAGGTTGAACTTGAAAACTCTCTGGTTCCTTGTAAGCGCCACATGGCTCCTGATATGGGAGGTTGGGTGTGGTGCAGGTTCAGACAGCTACCTTGGACTTGTTTTCTCTAAAAATCAGCATCCAAAGCCTTGTGGTTAGGATTGATGTGTAGTCGTGTATTTGTGTATCTGCATGAGCAAAGGTCAGGAACTGTCAGACCCTAGTAGCTGATTTTATTTCTTGTAATCACAAATAAGCTTAAGAAAGAAAG